CTTAAGTGGTATGGTTAATGGGCTATATTTAGATCTTGAAAGAATATCTCCTGCAGGCTTGGATGACAGGTCTGCTAGCTCAGATGAAAGCTGTGTGGATTCAGTTAGCCAATCATCAATGTCACCATCTAGAAGGGAATCTCCCAGTGCATTTAGCTCTGAACAATCTCAAACCCATATTAGAGCTGTTTCTGATTCCTGTGCACTTTCTACTGCAAATTTTCCTCAAGAAACACAAGGTGATCACAACAATGCTCCTCAGATGTCATCAAGTCCAGGTCACAGTAGATCTGCTTCTGCTTCTGTTGAATTAAATACAGGGTCAGAAGCTGCTGGTACTACTGCCATGCCATCAACGCATAGAGAATCTGAGTTCCCACCTCGATTGCTGGAGGCAAGGTCTCGAAGTCAAGCCTTGTGGAGGCGGCCATCAGAGAGGCTTGTTCCTAGGATAGTATCTTCTCCTGCTAATGAAGCAAGAGCTGATCTTTCTGGTATTGAAACCCAGGTTCGGAATTTGGTTGAGAGCTTGAGGAGCTCTGATGTTGATACTCAGAGAGAGGCAACAGCAGAACTCCGCCTTCTTGCTAAGCACAATATGGATAATCGAATTGCGATTGCAAACTGTGGAGCCATTAACTTATTGGTTGATTTACTTCGATCAACTGATGCAACGATCCAAGAAAATGCTGTTACTGCACTTCTAAACTTATCAATCAATGATAACAACAAAACGGCAATTGCAAATGCTGGTGCAATTGAACCTCTGATTCACGTGCTCGAGACTGGGAGCCCAGAAGCCAAGGAGAATTCAGCTGCCACTCTTTTCAGCTTATCAGTAATTGAGGAAAACAAGATTTTCATAGGGAGGTCAGGGGCAATTGGACCACTGGTAGATTTATTGGGAAATGGAACCCCTAGGGGAAAGAAAGATGCTGCCACTGCATTGTTTAATTTGTCAATATTTCATGAGAATAAGGGTCGGATTGTGCAAGCTGGTGCTGTGAGGCACCTTGTGGAGTTAATGGACCCAGCAGCTGGAATGGTTGACAAGGCAGTGGCTGTCCTAGCAAATCTTGCAACAATTCCTGAAGGAAGAAGTGCAATTGGTCAGGAAGGTGGGATTCCTGTTCTGGTTGAGGTTGTTGAATTGGGCTCCGCGAGAGGAAAGGAGAATGCAGCAGCAGCTCTTCTACATCTTTGCTTGCATAGTAGCAGATTTTTAAGCATGGTACTCCAACATGGAGCTGTCCCACCATTAGTAGCTTTATCACAGTCAGGCACCCCAAGGGCCAAAGAAAAGGTATGGTTCTTTCTTTGTAATTTCATACTTTAGTTGCATTTTATTCTACTTCTATTCTTTAAAAAAAGATGATGGATTTTCTTCTATGTTTAGGCCCAAGCTCTCCTTAACCAATTTAGAAGTCAAAGACATGGGAATGCTGGGAGGGGCTGATTTTGAATTCCCAACCTCGTGTGGTATCCAAAGGTTTTGTATTAACACCCATAAAATGTCTCTAATTTATAAAAACATGGTTCAAATAATGTGTGTAAAGATGTTTTGTATTGTTTTCACTTGCTTGGAAAAGGGGAAAAAATATTTATGGAGGATTGATTGTGTCCTCCTTGTGGAAAACCTTTCTGTGATGTAAGAAAGTAAGAAAAATTACACATGTAAGTCTAGCTTTTGTTTTGACCAAAAAAATGGTCTGGTTTTTGTTGCTGTGCTAGGGCATGATGGTTGTGTAGAAATAAAACATTTGGTCACTTTAGTGATGCATTAACCGCCCCTTTCATTGATATAGGGATCTGGGTGTAAACTGTTATGTTCTTGCTGTCCTATTTTTCATTTTCCTCCTGGTAATCCAATTATTTTGTAGTATTGCTGTTCATGTTTCAATATATAGAAAACAGTTTGTCAAAGAATTTCTCCTCCTTCACTAATTTTGTGAAGACGTGAGTTCTCTTTTTCTAGATCAATGCAAGGTAGTAGTGACTCTGCAAATTAATAGATATTAGAAGTTGAATTGTACAATCTAAACTTTTTTAAGTGTCCGAACTAGATAGTTAGTCTTTAGACTATGCACGTGACATTCTTTTTAGAAATCTTTTTAATATTTTTTTATTATAAGCTGAAATTTATTAGAAATTATAAAATTTATGGCTGCATCTCATTCTTTTTAATGGCAAAGAAACTTCTATTAATGAAGTCCAGCAACTAATTTGCACATGTTCATTTGTGTACATCGAAAAACAAAATTATAAAGAAGATGCATTGTATTAAAAAAATCACAAAATGTCTATATGTTGATCACAAATAACACATTTATTGAAGTAGTTGCCTAAAAAACACGAATACTAATTTTTCTTTCCATCAGTATTGTGTGCTCCATGCATTTCAGGATACATGAGTCCTCTCAATACATCCATGATGCTTTTTGCAGTAAACTACACCCTCTGTTTTCTGTAACCAATCCCATCCAAACAATTCAAAGGGTTCACAATCCAAGAATTCCTTGAATAAGTTTTTTTTTTTTTTTTTTTTTTTTTTTTTTTTTTTTTTTTTTAACTTTTTTTTTTTTTTTTTTATTT